GCAGGGGCTGGACCAGGCTGAAGCCAGGAGTCTAGAGCTTTTTCTGGATCTCCCATGTGGATGCAGGAACCCAAGCACTTGGGCCGTCCTCCGATTGCTTCTGCACATTAGCAGTGAGCTAGATGGGAAGTGCAGCAGCTGGGATACAGAACTGATGCTCATTAAGGGATGCCAGTGCTGCAGGCAGAGGTTTTCTTGGCTAAGCCACAGTGCCAGACCCCCAGCTTGGCTTTTTACAACTCAGATCCTGCATTTCTCCCAAATGCCTTTCCTACTGTCCCTGCCACCCCACACAGGTGAAGGTTGTAGGGTGTTGTTAGAGAAATGATTTGATAGATGGCTGTCAGCTCCATGAAGCTGGAGGCTTGGTCTGCCTTTGCCCACCTCCTCTCTCCCCACAGTCAAGCTGGGGGCACAGTACATAGCAGGTGTTTGATGACAGGTTTGCTGCCTATTGCCCCAGGGAGGAGAGAGAGAGAGAGAGAGTCAGAGATAACGCAGCTCCGGATAGCACAGCTAGGAAAGAGACTGGATACCTGGACTCAGAGCTGACCGGCTGCATCATCTGGGGAAGAACAAAGCTGAGGGTAGCAGTCCCTCCCCGGAAGCTGAGACCATGTCAGGTCCTTCTGCCCATCCAATAGTGGTTAGTGCTGGGCCAGCCTGGGCTGCCTGGCTGGAGAAACTCCAGGGCTGGCCACTCCCCCTCCGCTCCAGCTGAGCTAAGTGGAAACCAACATCCCTTGGCTTTCCTCCAGCCCAGCCCTGGTAAACTAGCAGTGCCCCTCCTCATGCCAACCTTTGCTGCTCCTCCACACCCACCTCATCTTTCAAGCACCCCCCTGTCCTCCCAGCTTTCTGCTTCCCTTGACAAACGGGGATGATGCGTTGGGAGCAGGACTGAGGTTGAGGGATATGGAGGGTGTGAGGCAGGTGGGCTCCGTGCAGAGCTGGATAGAGGATCCCTGGATGAAGATGCAGGAGTCTCAGAGGGAATGTGGCCTGGCAGGGAGGGATGAGATGTTTGAGAAGGATCAGGACTTCAGTCGGGGAAGGTTCTGACCTCAGGTGGGCTGCTAGAAACTGCAGCAGAATTATCTGGGACACTCTGGGCAAAGGATATGAGCTGTCCTTTCCCAACTCCTCCCCCACTGCCCTCCATCACCCTAGGGGCCTTTCCTTGTTCTGCCTTCCTGGGACCCAGAGACACAGGACTCTCAGGAATTCTCAAGCCCTGCTCAGTTCCCTGGAGGGATAGGCATTAGGTCCCCTGACTGGGGAGGGAGGACAGGCAGAAGGCAGGAAGAGTGGGGAGGTGATGGAGAGTTAAGGGTCACCCGCCCAAATTCCTGGGCGCCTGTGGCTCCGGGCATTCTGAGAAAGGAAGGGGAGGAAAAAAAAAAAAAAAAAGACAACAGAGAAAGTGATTTAGAGACAGACGCAAATGGAAACCGAACTCTGGACTCGGGAGAGAGAATGTGAAAAGACCCAGAAAGATGGGCGGTCTGGCGGCGGGCACGCTCGTTTGCTCACTTGCTGGAGAAGCCTTCTGCTTTGGCCTGCAGCGAAGCTGATGTTATCTGTCTCCAGCTGCCTCTCCCCAACTGCGCGATCCCCCTCCGCAGTCCCCTCCAGCTCCACAGCCAGACACCCAGATCTCTCCTCCCCTGTCTCTCGGCGGCTGCAGGCGGCAGGGCCTGCGAGCCAGAGCTGACATGGCTTCTCAGGAAGGGGGAAACAGTGGAGGAGGCTGGGGCAGGGGGCTGGAGAGAGGGGCCCAGCTGGCCTGCCCCATGTGGGCTGCCTGTTTCTGGGTCGCTGTCTTTACATTCCAGACACTTGTGAACATGCAGAGGTGGTGTGTGTGTGTGTGTGCATGCACACACACTCGTGTACATACACATGGGGTGGACAGGATAGGCAACAGTCTCAGCCCCCCAGCCAATCCACCTGTGTGTCTGCTGTAGCACTGGATGCAAGTTACATGGCATCATCTAAGGCAGAGGAGGGGGTCTGGCGTGGGTCATCTTCGAGCCTGTGCCCAGCCGCTGTGTTGTCTGTGGAGTGGGTGGGAGGAGGGAGTGTGGGGGAGGGGGCTATGTACATGGAGGGAGCGGGGAGGGAGTGTGGAGAAAGGGGTTGTGCAAATGTTCTCTGCGTCTTCCGGTGCCCAGCTTTGCTTTTAAGACAGTAGTGGATGGTGAGTGGAAACCTCACAGTTCATCTCTTGGCCATTCGGGGGCATAAAAATAGAAAACCATTGTCCTGGCTCTGCCCAGATGCCAGACGACCACCGTGTGCGGCATGCAAAGGGAAGTGGGTAGGGGGTCCAGGTTGGAAGCGCAGCCTGCCTGCCACACCCCTCTCCTGGCCCGAGGCCCCTGCAGGACAAGCACCCTGCAAAGAAGGCCAGGGCTTGGGACAAGGCTGAAGTTGCTCCCACAGCATCTAGCGAGTCAGCACTGCACGAGGGGTGGGGCGAGCTCTGTGTGTTTGTAGGCAAGGTGGGGGGGGGGTGGGGGCAGAAAGGCCGCCTGCGGGGGAGCAAGCTTCTTGGCAAACGCCCCAGTTTCCTGAACTGATCCCTGCTCCCTGCCACTGCTCCCAATTCTGTTGTTTCAATAACATCATTTTTATCCACCCCATGGAGAGAGAGAGAGACCGTGTCTTGGAGGGGGCAGGAGGGGGCGGCGGAGGCGAGGGGCAGGGCTAGGGCAAGGGGGAGGGGTGCTAATGGAAAGATGCTGGGGGTCTGGAGGCAGAAGGGACTAGATTTGGGGCGCTCCCTGCTCAAGCAGAGGCAGGGCGGTCCCGGAGCCTGGGTCCCCTGATGACAAAGACAAATACATTAAAATTCTTGCCTCAGAGAAGAATGCAGGATAGGGAGAAGGTTTCATACTCTGTAATAACAGTAGCAGGGTGGGGGTGTGAGGGGGAAGGGGGTTCAGAACCCAGGCAAGTGGCTCCCAGGGGGGTGGTCATTGGCCACCTGCAGCCTCCAGGAACCCCGGAGCCCTGGAGCTGCCCGTTTTGTCACCATCTGGCCTCGGTATGTGCCTGCCCAACCTGGCTGTCGTCACTGCTCTGGCACGGAGAGCCACTTGTGCGGGGAGCTGTGCGTGGTTTGGGGATGCTGCAGCAGGCTCCACCGGAAGGAGGCAGCCCCAGGGGAGCAGGCCCCCTCTTGTCTCCCTCTGCTCCCCCCTCCTCCACACCCCTTCCTCTTCTCTGGAGTGCCTCAGCTCCTCCAGCAGAACTCTCTGTACTCAGTTCAAAGAATGAGCTGACATTGCCCCGACACCAGGGCCCCGGGGTGGGGCTCCCACAAAACCTAGGGCTTGAGCCAATTCTTCCCGTTTCTCCTCTCTTCCCTGGTTGCTCATCTGTCCTAGAAGAGCTGTTACCTCCCAGGGGTCAGTGGGGGGGGGTGTTGGGGGCAGGTATCTGTGCTCCTTGGTGGTCTCCTCTATAGGGGGGACACCCCCAGTCTCATATTAATCCACTTGTCCCCACTCTCAGAGAGGGGGAGCCCCTCAAGGTTTTGTCTTTCCCCATTCACGAGGGGCGTCTGTGTTTTCTAACAGTGGCCTCAGGCCTCACTTCCAGATGCCCCCTGCCAGTGGTCAATAGCGTTCTTAGGGTGCTTTAAGTTTCTGCCACGAGAATATAGGTCCTCCAGCTACTCCCCTCTTGGACCCCAGGACAGTCTTAAAAGGGTTCTGGCAGCTCCAGATGGTGAGAGAAGGGAGATGGGGGCCCCTGGTTTGGAATGTCCCACACCACCTGTCCCTCGGCACTTCTGGGGCACGACGCGGGGGGGGGGGGGGCATCTGCCCTAGGCCGGAGGAGCTGCCAGCGCTGGGCGTGATGAATGGAGCTGTCCTTCCTCCCCACGGGGGCCTTTGATGTCCTCCCCCTGCCCCCATGGGGAGGGGGCCAGGGCATCAAAGACATTTTTGTGGCCTTAGAGAATCAGATAAAATGCCATCTCACCTGCAGCTGGCTCACCCACCCCTTCTGGCCAGGCCAAGCTGGGGGAGGAACCCGCGCACACACGAGGCCCGGCTGGCTGCAGCGAGCTCTAACCCCTCTTCACCGTCTGCCATCTCACACGTGCACGCGCTGGAGAGCAGACCCCCGCCCCGGCTCCACCGGCTCCTCTCTTGGTCTCATCTCCCGCCCCCGCGATCTTGGGCTTGAGGAAGTGGGACGGCTGGGGAGCTGAAGCCAAGGGTGTCCTCCCTTCTTTCCAGGCCAGGTTGTGGGCAGCGTGGAGGCGGCCCGCCGGGGTCCGACACCCTCCCGCGGAGCACCCCAGGCTGTCCCCCACCCTCCACGCTTGCATCTCCCAGCGCACCATTACCCCCACCCCACCCTACCCCCCTAAACTCCCTCATTCCTGGGAAGTTTTCTCTCTTTACAGTCAACAAACCTGTCAAACGCCTTCCTTCCAGGCCGGCCCCCATTCCTCAGCTCCTCTTCCTCCCCCCAATCCCCCATTCCACCCCACCCACCTCTCTTCTTCCCCGCCCCTCCTTGCCCTGGATTCCCCGCGACCGGGGGGCGGTAGTCCGGGAGAGGCGAGGTGAGGGGGCGAGGCAAGGCAGGCGCGTCCCGAAGGCAGGAGCGCGCACTGGGGGCCCCGCCCCGGCACCCCGCGCCCGCCCCTCTGCGCCTGCCGCCCCGGGGCGCACGGTTCCCTCCCCAGAGTCCCGCCGCCTGACTGTCGCAACTGCCACCCCCCTCCACAACCCCCTCCACTACCCCCCCGCCCCCGGCCCGGCCCGGCCCTGCTCCCCTCCCACCCCCGCCCCCGGCTTTGATTTCTTCTCCCGAGCGAGCTCGGCGGGAGACACAGGCACTCGCTGGCTGCCCCGACCGCTCTCCGCCTCCGCCGCGCCCTCCTCGCCCGGGATGGGCCCCCCCGCTGCCGCCGCCGCCGCCGCAGCCACCACCGCCGCCGGAGCCATCACCTCCCAGCCACCGCCTGGGTTGCCACGCTCGCGCTGACGCCCGGGGCCTCGCGCGCACCGGTCCGCCCGCAGCCTCGCCCCCTGCCCGCGCCCGCCGGCCGTGGAGCGGTCACGATGATGCCGCCCGCGCCCTCCCGACTCGGGTTGCTGCTGCTGCTGCTGCTGTGTCCGGCGCACGTCGGCGGACTGTGGTGGTGAGTATGTCCCGGGCCGCTTCGGGGAGCCACGCGCCGCTCTCCGCTGGCCTCGGAGCGCTCTACCTGCAGGCGGCACACCCACCTCCGCGGGGCAGCTTGGCCAGGGGATGTTGGGAGGGAAGCGCCCGGGGTTCTCCCCTTGGCCTTTGCTAAGGGGATTCTTCCGAGGTGCCACCTTAGATGGTCCACTTGTCTTGAGTTTCCTCCTCCGGTGTGTCCCCTCTCCTCCGGCCCCCCACCAAGTTCTGCGCTCAAGCCAGCTCACCAGGGGATTGGCGGTGGCTAGACAGCCCGGCCAGCAGGGAAGCAGGGAGAAGATCCTTGGTCAGATGTGCCCAGGAAGGAGCGGACAAGGAGGACCCGGGATGGGGCGCAGGAGGGGAATGGATTTGGAGGAGAAAGGAAGGTAGGAAGCCACAAAACAGCCGCCTTCTCGGGGTTCCCTGCAGAGTGGGTGGTGGCGAGAAAGGGGAAACTGAGTCAGGCTTTTTCAACCTCCTCAAGACCCAGGCGCAGGATCCTTGTAGCTGCGGGGCTCTTGGATGGAGCGTGGTGCCAGATGCCCAACGGAACGTGCGGGCACCCCTGGGACATGTGAGGACCAAGGGGCCGGTCGGCACAGGGATGCGAGCGGACCTGCGCACCTGGCGCAAGCTCAGGCTGACACCCGGGCGGCGGGCGTGGGTGCCCGGGGGCCCGGCGGGCGTGGGTGCCCGGGCGGCCGGCCGCACTGCCAGCTCCTCCGGGAGCCCGATCCCGCCGACGCTCCCCCTGCATTGCCGCCAACACCCGCCCGCCCGGAATAGCTCGGAGCGGCGTGAGGCCGGACTTGGCCACCAACGCGGCTGACTTAGCCAATCCCAAGGAGGCAGGGCCTTGTCTATTTGCATAGCTCCACATCATTGGCTGGATTCCTACCCTCCACTCCCCTCCTCTTCTATCCCTGGGTTTGGAAGGAGGGATGGGGCAGGCGGATCCCACTCTTCTGAGGCCCAGGAGTGAGATGCCCACACAGGGAGCTAGCTGCTGGCCGCTATCCCTGGGGTGGCAAAGCCATCCCTGGGCGGATGTCAGGAAAGGGGCAATTGGAGGTCAACCCAGGCCCTGGCTAGGGGGCATGCGTCCTTTGCCTCTGGCTCGCTAGAATGGTGCAGGAGCTTTAACAGGCAGATTTGAGCTCTGATGTGCACCATTAAATCTAGGACTTTGGGCAAGTCACTTCCCTTCCCTGTCCCCACACCCCATTGTCTCAATTATTTTTCCTCCGTGGCAGGCCTACTGCTGGGAGGATTGGGAAAGTTTACAACATGATTAGACACTAGGAAGTATTCTTCATGGTCCAGCTTCTCTTGACTAGGTATCCCAGGGGTGGAAATGCATTTAAATTTAGGGGCCAGCATTGTGGTGTAATGGGTTAAGCTGCTGCCTGCAATGTTGGCATGCCATATGGCTGCCAGTTTGAGTCCTGCCTCTCCAATTAATTCAACTCCTTGCTAATGTGCCTAGGAGAGCAATGGAAGACAGTCCAAATCATTGGGCCTCTGCACTTATGTGAGAGACCTGGAAGAAGCTCCTGGCTCCTGGTTTCATCCTGGTTCAGCCCTAGCCTTTGTGGCCATCTGGGTAGTGAACCAACAGATGGAAGATCTCTCTAACTCTGCATTTCAAATGAATCTTTTTTTTTTTAAATAAAAATTTCAATGTAAAAATCCAGGGTCCCAACATGACCTTATAAAGGGATCTCTTCGTCTCCCCAAACACATCTCTTTCCTAACTTGGTCCTCTCTGAGAGCCTGAGGTCAGTCTGTCCCCTTTCCATCTGTCTACCTGGTTATCATTCTTATAGTCAAGATGCCACTTCCTCCATGGACCTGTCTCCTTGTCCCTATTTCTTTGCTATCTCTGCACTCTCGCAGCACGCCTTGCTCTAGGCAACCAGGCCAGGAGTGACTTCACCTAGCTAACCCTTGTCTCTTCTTGGCAGAGCTTTTGGGGCTGAGGTCCTGAGACACACGATAAGTGGTGGAGATGGGGGTGTGGGGTGGCTGATTTACCTGTCTGGAGCTTGTGTCTGCCTGGGAGGTGGGGGTGTGTCCTTTTCTTCAGGAGGGGCTGGATGGGAACCATGCCAGGCAGGGTGTCTGTGTGGGTGGGGGAAGCAGAGTGACCTGGACCCCTGGAGGCTGACCCTGAAGCTGGGAAGTCAGGAGGAGGGGAGAGGAGGGGGAGGAGGGGAGGTGGGCAGGTGTGGGAGAACACAGAGACCTTCATGGCCACAGCTGCAGGGCCGGCAGGGCGAAGAGAGTGTGGCTGGGGCGATAAGGTGCCTGCTGAGCGCCTTGCTCAGATGTGTCCTGTCTCTCCCACCTGCTCTGGCCTCTCGCTTGCCTGTGGCTATTTTTGACACTTCATTCCTTGATCTTTGCTTCCACTCCTGTTTCATTTGCCCCCTTTTGTCGCCCTCCATGGGCCTAGGAACACTCAGTTGTCTGACAGACCCTGACCTGATAAGGAAAGGATCCCCCTACCCACCCATGGAGGTTCTCCCACCTTTCTGTCCGGCCCCAACCCCCATTCCTCTCCCCTCCCCTGCAGTCCAGTGCCTCTCCCATCTGTGACCATATCTTTGTGCATTACAGAATTCCAGATTCCAGCAGCCTGGCCAGGCTCTCTGGAGGTCATGGGGTCCCCTGCCTCTAGGCCATACAGCCTGCGATCTGGCCCTCACAGTCCCGTCTGGAGAGGGAAGCACACAGAGCCAGAAGCCATAACTTCCCCGTCTCCAGCTCCCCTCTACTCCCCTGCCCAGCCCTCTCCTAGGAAGTCCTTTCCAGTGCCTGACCCATCTTGATCTCCATCAGGGGACATAGAAAAGAACTCATTGCCCTAGAACACACAAGTCCCTCTCCCTTCTCTTCTCTTCCTTCTCCTCTGTTTTAGATTTCCAAGGAAGGAAACTAACCCTGTCCTTTGTTCCACTGGAAGAACATCCCCAGATCCCCTCCCTCATCCAACCCAGTTTGCCTTTTGCCCCCACCCCCTGCTTCACCTGTGGAAAGCGGATAGCACCTAGAGGCCAGGGACAACCTCAGTTTGAACCCATAGGAGGGCGGGGAGGGACCCCAGCTCCTGCCCAACACCCAGGCTTGTCAGTGGCCACTCTTTCCCACCTTGACTTTATCTGCGACCCCTGGCCCTGATCTGGCCCTCTCCAAGCCCGAGGGACATGGGATGGGGGTGGAGTGTCCATCCTTCCGTCCCCTCCAACTCCCAACAACCCTCCCCCAGGCCTCTCTGTTTGGCAGCTTCCCATGCAGGAAGACAATGAGGCTGTGAGCAGAAAAGGGCAAGGGCAGAAGGAAGCTGTTTCTATCCAGGCCAGTGCATGCCCTGAGCCCTCCAGAGTCCTGGCACTGTGACACATCCTGGGCATACAGTCCCTCCTAAATCAGGAGTTGGTGGGGGGAGGCCACAGGGAAGCCTCTCCCCATGGCCCCGAGAGGGGGGAGAGAGCTCTAGAATGCTCACCTAGTGGAGGAATGCAGCCCTGGAGGCAATGAGGAGGGGGTCATGCTGACAGTAGGGTGCCTGGCCAGGGTACTGTGGACTGTGAGAGTGTCTCCTAGGCTGCAGAGATGAGATCTCTCCCTAGCTCCCTGTCAGCCCTCTCCAGGAGTGGGCTCATCATCCCCACCAGACAGCTGCTCCCCTAGCTCTGAGCTGGCTGTTACATCTGCATAGTGGATCTAGAAAGGAATCAGAGCTCATCTGGCCCCATAGTCTCATGGAGCCAAGGAAGACAGCCAGGTCCAAGGGACAGGAGGTGACTTGCCCAATACTGCTCAGATCAGAATGCTGGGAGCTGAAAGCTGGCAGTGCTTTTTAGTGCAGTGGGGGTCGGGGGCTCAGCAAAAGGGTCCAGGGCCTCCCCCACATTCACCATGCCTTGCTTGAATGGGCACTCCCACCCCATGGAGGAAGTTAGAAAGCATCTGACAAATGTTCTCCAGGTGTCCAGTGGACAACCATGCTGTCGATTGCTTTGCCTCCTGAGGCCCTACCATTGGGAAGTCCTTTGGAACAGTTGCAACATGTGTCAAGAAGAGTGACAAGGGGCACAGGGAAGGTGATAGGATGGAGTAGGGGAGGGGTGGGGGTGGGATGAGGGCTGGTGGGCAGTGGGGAGGCAGGAGTTAATAGAGCCAGAGCTGGGGCATCACTGACTTTGATGTGGTGGTTGGGATGGGGGCTGGGGGAGGGGGAGCAGTAATTATGGAGTTAGACAGAGCAGGACAGGACAGGCGGGCGAGCACAGGCCCGCAGCCTCAACAGCCGTCAGGCAGCATTTTTCTACCCCTTCTCCACCACCCACCTCCCCCACCCCCGTGCAGCCCCCACCCACAGCCCCAGGGCTCAGGGCTCCCTCTGCCGGTTCCTGGGAGGTGGGGTCAATTAGGGACCTTGAGGGTAGGGGTTGGGGAGTGGGAAAGAGGGAGGCCAGGAAGGAGACCCAGCAGACTGGAGGCTGGACATCCTAGAGGATCTGTGATACTGGGGGGGTCAACAGCACATTGCAGTGGTTGCTGGGGAAGGAGAAAGGAATAGAGGGTGTTTTGGGGTCCTGAGCAGGGCTGGTGGCAGAGGCAGGGATCCTGAATGTGAAGTAAGCATAGAATTCGGAGCCTGAATCCCAGGGAGACCAAAAATGTTGCAGTGGCTAGCAGGTGGGCATGCTTTGCACCTGCTAGTTGGGAAACTGAGATGCAGAAGGCTTTCCATCTCATTGTCCATTCAACAAGTGCTAAGTGGTGACTCTACCTGCCTGGGGACTCACCACCACACCAGTGCAAGCCAAGGCAAAGCCAGCTCCAGCCCCAGGTCAGTGGGTGCTCTGAGTCTGCGTGCTCATGCTCCCCTGGATCTGAGAGCCCTGATGTGAGCTTGGAGAGATACCGGCTAAGATCTTAGTGACTTAGAGATGCAAAGGGGATAGCTCTGCATCCAGAAGTGTAGGAGTGTGGTCAGGGATGGATTCAGAGCTAGACAACTGTGCTAGGGTGGAGAAGGACAGGAGAAGCAACCTGAGGTCTTTCCATACCTGATGTACCATATCCAGCCAGTGTTATTCCATTTTGACCACCTTTGTCTCTAACTTGTCACTACTGAATGGCTGAGGGCTGTCACCTCTCCTCTGATTGGCTAACCTGTGGGCAAGGGTGGCCCCTAGGGGATGAGCCATGGGGTCACCCTGCATGAACTCTAGAACTCTTTGAGTCTCTGAACCAGAGAACAACATGTGGGTTAGTCCAGAACCGTGGGGCCATCAGAGCTTTGTCTACAAGCATGGTTACTAGGAACTGACCAGTTCCTGATGCCACCTCATATTGGTCCCACCACCTATGGACCGGTGGAGGGAGATCTTGGTGTGGGCCGGGCTAGTTAGAATAGCCAGCCTGAGGCTTTTCCTTTCTTGTTTGCATTTATTTATTTTAATTGGAAAGGCAGATTTGCAGAGGAGAGACAGAGAAAGATGTTACATTCACTGATTCACTTGCCAAATGGCTGAAACAGCTAGAGCTGAGCAAATCAGGAGTCAGGAGTCAGGAGCCAGGAGCCTCTTTCAGGTCTCCAACGTGGGTACAGGGTCCCAAGGCTTTGGTCCATTCTCTACTAAGATTCCCAGGCTAAAAACAGGGAACTGGATGGGAAGTGGAACAGCCAGGAATTGGTACCCGTATTGCACACTGGCACCTGCAGGTAGAAGATTAGCCAACTGGGCCATCACAGTGGCCCCATGCATCCTGGGTTCTTTAAGAGCTGTTCTCAGCTTGACTTTATCCAGGAAGGACTTTGATTAGCACCTGAGACCCTAAGTATCTTACGCTCCTTACCACCACCAAGCAAATTCTTCCCATGTGGCTCCTCTTACCCTGTTGAGCTTAGGCCAGGAGCTGATTCCCTAAAGGAGCAGAAAGGAAGGAAGGAAAGTAGAGGTCAGGGCAGGGGGGCAGGGTGAGGGGAGACACAGGGGTTATTCCTTGAGGTTAACCCTAGAGCAGGTGGGTGAGCCTCTTGCGCAAACATCTGGGTTTCCTGAAGGCCCAACAGGAAAGCTGCCCTGGAGGGCTCAGTTTACTCAGAGCCCGTGGACACCAGGGCCCCAAAGGGAGGCTGCATGCCTCCCTTCCCCAGCCGTCTCAGCCACGCCCCTGCTACAGTTTTGTTTCCATGTAGTTAGGATGGGAGCAAGGACAAGAGGCCAGGCGGGTTGGCTACTCCCTTGGGATCCTCGCTGCTACCATTGCCCATCCCTTCTCTCCACCAGCTTTTGTAAACAAGGCTGGTTCCCAGACAGCCAGCCAGCCTGGGAAGCCAAACCCAGGCTAGGCTTAACTCTCAGAAGGACCAGCATACCCCGCAACCCTAGGGCCTTGCCCTTCCTGCTCCCCACGAGCCCACTCCTCACCAGTTTCTGGGAAGCAGACAAGGTCAGGAGGTTTCCACCATTGCCCTGCTTTCTGGGGGGTGGCAGGGAGAAGGACAGAATGACCTTGGGAGGATGAGGCCAGCCAACCTTGGGAAAGTAGGGAGGTTAGCAGAGGATGGAGTGGGGCGGCACTGGGAAACTTGGCAGCAGTAGTAGGGTGAGGGAGATGAGTGGGTGGAGACCCAGACTCCCAGATAAAGTTGAGATGCACAGGTGCTGAGAACGGAGCTCCTGCCTGTCTCCTTGTGGGGAAGCAGCTGCTCACGGACATGAATGAGGAGTCACAAAGGACAGGTGGACAGGGGCCTGAACTTGAGAGAGGGTCTTCTGTCTAAGTGGCTCGCTCATGCATTCAGAGACGTGTTGTCTCACATTCCTACACAGAGGTCTCACAACAAACACGTTTTCATAATAAGCATGGGAGGAACTATGGATCTGGGAGAAAAAGCAGCGTTGCAGTGTAAGATAGCCCTAACGTTCCAAAGTTCATGGTTATGTTGGCCAAACCTGTGCAGCTGTGCCAGAAACTGCCTCAAATCCTTTATACAACAGGGTGGGCTAGGTGGGTGAAGGGGGCCTAGAGATTGATGGATGGAAAGACAGAGGCAGGTCAACTCTCAAAGGTTATAGGCCATTGTGAACCCCTCCTCTGAACCCACTTCCCACTGCTCTGTCCATCAGTTCTCAGAGGGCGCAGGCTGAGGCTAGGCAGCCCCTAAACCTGCTGGGAAGAAGATCTGGACTGTCTTTCCTCCAGGATGTCTGGATCCATAGCTGCTTGAGTGGGGGTGATGCCAGCACTGTGTCTGTGACCCTGTGTGTCTGTCTGTGACCCTATATATGTGTCTGTCTCTGTGTATATCTTTGTCTCTGTGTGTGTGTCTTTGTGTGTTAGCTGACCTTGAGTGTCTGAGCCTACACATCTTCCTGCAACCACTTCTTCAAGCGTCTCTCCCCAGTGTGGAGAGCTGTGCCTTCAGACCTGAATTCTTTTTGTTGCTATTCCAGAGCATTCCATCTCATTGTTGTGCAGCCAGAGCATGCCTGGGCAGCTTGTTCTTGTGGAACAAATGGGGACAGAGGGGTAGATATGCGCTGAAGCAAAACCAAGAAGGACGCCATCTGAACCTTTTGCACTTACCCGCCATCTTGCTCTACATTTCTCTCTCCTGCTGCCCTTCTCCCACTTAGCATCTTTCCTGTCCAGGATCTGAAGTTGGCTTGGAATATTTTAGCTTCAAGCCACCCTGCCCACTCAGTCCTCCAGGACAGCCCAATCCTCAGAGCTGAGCAGTCTACTGATAGTAGTTGCTCCTGCTGCAAACGCCTCACTGCTTTTCCCATCCAGAGTGCAGTATAGGGAAGCCAAATGACCACCTCTTGGCAGGTGCAACCAAGGCCAGCAGTGGAGTGAGTCCCCAAAGTGAAGGACTGCCCATGAGGCCTTTCACCACCAAGGTACACTTTATACCCCTCCACAGTCTATGACATCGCAACAGGACTTGACTCAGCAAACCTTGGAGCCAGAGAAGGACCGGTCTTACCTACATCCCTCCAGTGTTTGGGGAATTGAATCCCAGCTCCTTTCTGCTGCTGTCCAAGTTCAAGGGAATTATATCAGAGTGGGAGGACTCATCTGCCATGCTACAGGAGAAGCTTGGGCCAGAGAGGGAGCAGGACTTGTCAGATATGCCATTCCCAAGTGGTCTAGCATCTCTACATTGGGCTCAACCTAAAGGATTTTCACATTAGGTCTACTTAATGCCAGTTGCCTTCACCTTGTGTTAAATGCCTATAGGGATTTAAAAATGCATATTTATTTGAAAAGGAGAGAGAGAGAGAGATCTTCCATTTACTGGTTCACTCCCCAAATGGCTGCAATGGAGCTAAGTCAATCCAAAGTCAGGAGCCTGAAGCTTCTTCCAGGTGTCCCACATGGGTGCAGGGTCCCCCACACCTGGACCATCTCGTACTGCTTTCCCAGGTGCTTTAGCAAGGCGCTGGAGCAGAAGTGGAGTGACCAGGATTTGAATTGGTGGCACCCATCTGCGTAGGCTTAACCAGCTATAGGGATTTTTGAAGGAAGAATGCACAGAAGGCCTCCTACTGTAGCAATTTTCCATCTGGAGTCTAGTTAGGAGGGGCGTGGGTGGGAGTAGTAAGAGATACAGGGACAATCTGATTCGGTCTCAGATGGGGGCTAGGCTGGGGAAGCAGGTCCCAGCTTCTAGCCAAAGAATGTGCCCTGGCCTGGCTCTCCTCCATCTCTAAGCCCCTGGCTGAGTTATACCCCTCCCTTGCCCTTCTCTGCTTCCCAGGGCTGTGGGCAGCCCCTTGGTCATGGACCCCACCAGCATCTGCAGGAAGGCCCGGCGGCTGGCCGGGCGGCAGGCGGAGCTGTGCCAGGCTGAGCCGGAAGTGGTGGCAGAGTTAGCCCGGGGCGCCCGGCTTGGGGTGCGAGAATGCCAGTTCCAGTTCCGCTTCCGCCGCTGGAACTGTTCCAGTCACAGCAAGGCCTTTGGGCGCATCCTGCAGCAGGGTCAGTGTGTGCAGCCTGGGACCTGCATGGGGTTGGGGGGGGCGGGGTGAAGGTGGGGGTGGGCAGCTTTCTTCCTGCAAGCGGCAGTTGGAGGAGAGGGAATATGGTCTGGAGAGAGGCAGGGTATCACTTCCCTGTCTATCCAGGAGTCTTCTGCCCTCCCTTGTCCCTCTGCCCCCCTGCACTCTCCACCCCTCTCAGCTGCCAGCATCCTCTTCCTCCCCTGCACCCCCCAGCACGCGCTGACTGCCTCTCCCCGCAACTGCAGATATCCGAGAAACGGCCTTCGTGTTCGCGATTACCGCGGCAGGTGCCAGTCACGCAGTCACGCAGGCCTGCTCCATGGGTGAGCTGCTGCAGTGTGGCTGCCAGGCTCCCCGCGGGCGGACCCCGCCCCGGCCCTCCGGCCTGCCGCCTCCAGGCACCCCGGGACCCCCGAGCCCCGTGGGCCCGGCGGACGCCAGCGCTGCCTGGGAGTGGGGAGGCTGCGGCGATGATGTGGACTTCGGCGACGAGAAATCGAGGCTCTTCATGGACGCACAGCATAAGCGAGGGCGCGGGGACATCCGCGCACTGGTGCAGCTACACAACAATGAGGCAGGCCGCCTGGTGCGTGCGGGGAGTGCGTTGGGCGGGGGTGGGAGGGGCGGTGGTGGTGGTGGTGGTGGTGGCTATGGTGCTTGGAGGGCGCACGCTGGTGAATCTGGCCCAGAGGACCGGCGTTCACAGGCTAGCTGGGGCAGAGGCACGTGGGCAGGTGGCCAGCATGGATGGAGTGGTCACTTTGGGGTCTGGGAGGGCTTGATGCTGAGTGGTAAGGTACGGGAAGGACACTCAAGGAACAGGACTGAGGGCCCCTGGGGGAGGGGCCCTGAAACTGACACAAGACAGCTGAAGCACGGGGTTGGTGCCAGGGCATGGGCAGGGGAGGGAGGCAGGAAGGTGGCAGGGAGAGGAGACTGGGGCTAAGCTATGGTATCTGGCACAGCAAAAGCAGGGGGAGGCCTGTAAAGGGGCTAGAACATGCCCACGGGCAGGTACAGGAGCAAAGGGTTAGAGCCCATCACTGCTACCCCCATCCCCTGCCCCGCCACCAGGTACCAGGGTGGTCACACTGAAGCCAGGAAAGCTGGGAGTGATTCTGCCTGGCAACTCCAGATTAGGGGTCACCTGGCCAGAGCCCTGGCCTCCTGTCCCCTCCTCCTTTGCAAGAAGAGGTCCCTTAGAAGCACAGGTGGAGGCAGGAAGAAGCCTGCTCAGGCAGAAGGTTCTAGAAGGTGGCAGGCAGGGACCACCCCAGGGAGTAGAAAGGGCACGTTAGTCTGAAAATCAAGTTGCCCCCTTTTCAGGCTCCGTCCTCACTACAGCACTCTCTTGCACCCCGTGCCACGGTTCCTGGGTGCTCTAGGGACAACCTCCAGCCTCTTTCCCCCACGTCCCCATCCACAACCTATGTCCTCCAGGGTTTGGACCTGAGGAATGGGGCAGGCAGGGAGGAAGGGGTCCACACTGGAATATCCGGACAGGCACACATACCTGTCGGGAAGGTTGGGGAGGGGTAGCCGACACAGATGCCCAGACGGCTGGCTCTGCGGCTCTGTCTTGGCTCAGCCCGCCCTGGGGTCCTGGGGAGGCCGGGCTGGCAGGATGGCTGCCCCGCCCCCTGTCCTGACCCCCCCTCCACTCTGCGCTTATCTCGGCCTTGCCACCGCCCCCTCCCCACTGCTCCCCTCAGACTTATAAGCCGCCTCCATTCGCCCTGTCTCATCTGATCCCTGCAGGCCGTGCGGAGCCACACGCGTACCGAGTGCAAGTGCCACGGGCTGTCGGGCTCGTGCGCCCTGCGCACCTGCTGGCAGAAGCTGCCACCGTTCCGCGAGGTAGGCGCGCGGCTGCTGGAGCGCTTCCATGGCGCCTCGAGAGTCATGGGCACCAACGATGGCAAGGCCCTGTTGCCCGCCGTGCGCACACTCAAGCCACCCGGCCGCGCCGACCTCCTCTACGCCGCCGACTCGCCTGATTTCTGCGCCCCCAACAGACGCACCGGCTCACCGGGAACGCGCGGCCGTGCCTGCAACAGCAGTGCCCCGGACCTCAGCGGCTGCGACCTGCTGTGCTGCGGCCGCGGCCACCGTCAGGAGAGCGTGCAGCTCGAGGAAAACTGCCTGTGTCGCTTCCACTGGTGCTGCGTGGTGCAGTGCCACCGCTGCCGCGTGCGCAAAGAACTCAGCCTCTGCCTCTGACCCGGACTGCGCTGGGGTCGCTTCCCTGCGCACCTGCCGCACCTCTGCGCTTGGCCAGGGGGCGCTGTCCCGGCCAAGCCGCTCCCTGACCACAAAAGAAAAAAAAAAAAGAAGAAGAAAAAGATAAGAAAAGAAAAGTCCTCGCGGTGGGGCCGGCCTCTTGAAACAATGAGGCCCTGGGTCTTGGATGTATCCATACTCACGCAGGACCCGGAGAGCCGGATATCCTCCCCGCCTCACTCCTTGACTCTGAAAGGGTATCCTGGGCCTTGCTGGGTCAGACTGTGGAGACCCCCTTCTTAGCCCCCAGGTGGTAACCGGAAGGCCAGCCCTAGCAGGTGGGGCTCTGGCGGGGTTGGGGAGAGGGGCATGAGTTTAGCATCAATAAAGATATTTAAAGCAGCAGCGCAGGGCCCACAGTTTGAGAGGGCGTGGCCTGTTGGCCTAGCCAGCAGAGAGAGAGGTGGCTTTGGTAGAGCTAGCATCCGTCAGCAGGCTTCTCACACCACCTCCAGGCGGCTCTTCTGGAATCCCTGCCTCTCTCTCTTTAGCGTGCTCCTTCTCCCTCCTGTCCGACACTGAGTGCCTGGGTCTGCAAGCCACGAAAGGACCAGCAACGTCTCTTGAGAGGAACAGTAAGGGGCCCAGGAAAGGACCAGCAATGTCTCTTGAGAGGAACAGTAAGGGGCCCAGGAAAAGGCTCGGCCTTCCAACTTGCCCTTCTCTGGATGTTTAGGAGCTTAAAAACTTCAGGGCCTGCCCAGTGTGACAGCTCAGTGGCTAAGTCCTCGCCTTGCAAGTGCCAGCATCCCATAACGGCACGGCTTCATGTTCCAGCTGCTCCGCTTCCCATGCAGCTCCTGCCTGTGGCCTAGGAAAGCAGTGAAAGATGGCCCAGAACTTTGGGATTCTGGACCTGTGTGGGAGATCCAGAAGAGGCTCCTGGCTCCTGGCTTTGGATCAGCTCATCTCTAGCCAGTGTGGCCAGTTGGGCAGTGAACCAGAAGATCTTTCTTTCTGTTACTTGTTCCTTCTGTAAATATACCATTCCAATAAAATAAATAAATCTTTAGAATAAAGAAACTTCAGGGCCAACCAAGTACATAGGATCAAAAGATTTCAAAAAATTATTTATTTGTGGATTGAATAATTAAAAGGGAAGAGTTATAGAGAGGGAGAAGAGCCATCCATCGCTTCAGTCCCCAAATGGACACAATGACTAGGCCAGGAGCAGGCCAAAACCTGGAACCAGGAGCTTCTTCTGGGTGTCCCACATGGGTGCAGAGACCCACCATGGGCCATCCTCTGCTGCTTTCCCAGCTGTATTAGCAGGGAGCTGGATGGGAGTGGAGCAGCTTGCCCCCACGACCAGCAGTTTTTCTTTTCTTTCTAGTTTGTAGTCTAAGCATTTACTTCCTCCAGCCCACTCTCTTGGAACTGTCTTCATTTAAGCTTAATAGTAAACGGCCCTGATGGAGAGGGCACCAGCTCCACTTTCATCACACACAGCTGGCAGGGCTGCCTGGGAAGATTCCACCGCTCAGAGAAAGTGGGCAGCAGGAAGGTGCAGTAGTACCCAGTTGCTAAGTCCTTCAGTGGGAGGACAGCAGGGCCTGCACCTCTCCCAGGTCCTCGCTGTAGGCTTCCTGGTATTCATGCGGCTTGAGCGTGATCACTCAAGTGGGGCGCCTGGAACCTGCAGCTGAACCCCTGTCTCTCTTCCAGGGGATATACACATAGGGTAGATTCCAGTCCTCACACATTACTGGGAGGTGGCAGTATATCTCAATGGGCAACGTGTCTCCTGCCAAAACCATGATCCCCTTCTCGTCTTTGTTGACAAACTTGTACACCTCCTTCATCCTGCGCAGAACCTGCTTCTGCTTCACCTCTTTCTTGAAGTACTTGTAAAGCTTCTGTGTGAGGTGGCGGGAAGCCAGGGGCAGCGTGATGGGTTCAGGTTGACCAGCAGCTCCTGGTAAGTGCACTCCCTACAACACACCTCCGCCTGGGCCTCCAGCCAGTGGAAATCAGCCTTTACTTTTTGATCAGCAGTTTTTTCCGATCACACTGACAGAGAAGGCCAGGCTGTCCCAAGGCTCCCCAACCTCATGGTTCCTCATGGGAAACTGCTGGTAAAGGTGGAGCAACACAGAATGCTCCAAGCTCCTGCCTCTGTCTTCCTGCAAAAAGGATGGGGAGGGCGGATGGCAGGGAGGACAGTCACAGACCTGGGGCTCAGAGCTCCTGCTGCCAGCATCCACAAACCGCAATGGGCAATTTCCCCCCTCACCCTCCACCTCCCCGCCCAGGGAAGCCGGAGTGAGCTTTGGATTCAGCCCCTCCGAGCTGACACTGGGGCTGCTGCTTAGTTTACAATGTAGGGCTGACCTAGCCTCAGTTTCCTTCGCCCCTGTACAATGGGGTTATCACCTAGCTATAGCCATGCACTGCTGCCTTAGAAACACTCCCCAGAGAATTATGCTAGGGATGATTTGAGTCAGGAATTGGTCTGAACTCAGCCAGCTGGTTCTGCTCCCTGTGGGCTGGGGTCATTCCCATGCTGTGTTCTGCTGGGCCAGGGCTCAGCCTGGGCTGGGCTAGGGTTGGGCTGAGCTGGATGGCCCCGGGAGGCTGCAGGACCTGAGTCCCATGGGTCTCCTTCTGTCCACATGGAAGTGAATGTCTGACCACTCCCGTTCCTGTGAGGAGGTTTGGGCTTCCAGCTTTCCAGAGACAAGGTATTACTGCCACTCTCAGCCAAAACAGGTCAGTCACAGAGTCAGCCCACGCTCAAAGGGAGGCGAAGTAGGGCAATCCCTCAAAGCGACAAGGAATGGCACAGTCAGCTTCCTGCCTCTATAGCATGATTGGAGGGGGTGGGGTTTACTTTTGAGGAATGAAAAAGCACACTTGGAATGGGCCTTGGATCACAATGATTTAAGTCACTGCTTGGGACACCCACATCCTACATCAGAGGGTCAATTTGAGTCCTGGTTGCTCCGCTTTTTCTTTTTAAGGTTTATTTATTTTGAAAGTCAACTTCCAGAGAAAGAGAGAAAACTCTTCCATCTGCTGGTTCACTCCCCCAGATGACCACAGTGGCCAGCACTGGGCCAGGTGGGAGTTGAGATCTTCATCCGGGTCTCCCACATGGGTGACAGGAGCCCAAATAACTGGGCCGTCTTCCACTGCTTTCCCAGGCACATTAGCAGGGAGCTGGATGGGAAGTGGAGTAGCCAGACAAAAACTGACACTCAATTGGGATGCTGACATAGTGGTGGCTTGACCCACTACACCCCAGTGCTGCCCCCATCCCCGTCCCATTTCTGATTCAGCATCCTGCTAATGTGTCTGGAAAGCAGCTGAGGATGGATCAAGTATTTGAGTCCATGCCACCCCTGGGAGACACCTACATGGAGCTGTGGTTTCTGGTTGCCACCTGTCTCAGACGTGGCTCTTATCGGGCATTTGGGGCCTGAATCAGTAGATGGCTGTCCTCTCACTGTCTCTCCCTCCCTCTACCTCTGCCTTTCAAAGAAACAAGTCTGCAAAAAAAAAAAAAAATTCAGAGCATAAGACAGACCTGACATTCATGAGGATGGGGAGGAAAAACTCAGCCCAGCATTGGCGCAATAATAATTTGCTTAATAAAGGTAGTGGATATGAGAATGGAGATAACTTGAAGCTTGGTGGACAAGCTCTGACTTCTAGTGGAGATACTTACCTGACAGAGAACTGAACAACCACCCAGGAGGCCCAGGGTCAAGTATCAATTCAGGCACAGTTGAACCAGGGTCTAAATGATGTCACAGCTCTCCACTGGGCCCCTGCCAACAACAATCTCTGCCTTTTTTTAAAAAAAAATGTTTATTTATTATTGGAAAGGCAGATCAGATTTATAGAGAAAAAGAGATAAAAATCTTCTATCCACTAGTTTACTCCCCAAATGGCTGCAACGGCCAGAGCCAAACTGATCCGAAGCCAGAATTCCCACACTGGTGCAGGGTCCCAAGTCTTTGGCTCATCCTCTACTGCTTTCCTAGGCCATAAGCAGAGAGCTGGATGGGATGGGACATGAATCGGTGCCCATATGGGAAGCCAGCACTTGCAAGGTGAGAATTTAGCCCAATCTCTCTTTGCACACTGGTCCCCTTCTCTCCATCGCAGAGTTGTTTTGTTTGCTGGTTTGTTCAGCTTGGGCATGTGCCAAGCCCTGAACCAGAATGATGTGTTAGCATGACTCAGAGAGCAGCCTCCAGAATCACAAAGCGTGGGGAATGGGATGGGGGATGGCATATATGGCAGGGAGGGAGAAGAGCTCTTCAAAGGACAGACCCCAAGCCTGGCTTCCAGGCTATCTGTCCCCCACGCCTATGTCTACCCTATGGTCTAGCACAGTCCTCAAGGATCACGGCAGGGAGGAGGTGCCCAGCAGGATGCAGGGGGAAGGCAGGGCAGCTGGGCTTTCCATCTGCTTGCTCCTGGCTCCTTTGGAGTGTAACACTTGAGCTTCAACGAAGGGCCATGGACCGACCATTTGGACAGGTGGAGAAGCAAAGCTTCTAGAAGGCAGGGTTTATAACCACCAGCTTACCTTTAGATTCTTCACCTTTGGGCGGAAATTTTTACAAAATGACCTGCACTTTTTTCTTTTTCTTTCTTTCTTTTTTTTTTAAGACTTTTTAAATTGGAAAGTCAGATATGCAGAGAGGAGGCGGGACAAAGAGGAAGATCTTCAGTCTGATGTTTCACTCCCCAAGCAGCCCAATGGCCAGAGCTGAGCCCATCCAAATCCAGGAGCCAGGAGTCTCGTCCAGTTCTCCCAAGTGGGTGCAAAGTCCTAAGGACTTGGGCCGTCCTTGACTGCTTTCCCAGGCCACAAGCAGGGAGCTGGATGGGAAGCGGGACACCAGGGTTAGGATCTTGGAGATGCTAAGTGAGGACTTTAGCCACTAGGCCACCACGCTGGGCCCATGACCTGCACTTTTCAACGAGACCACCAGAGGGCGCATGGAGTCCAACTTCCCCACCACAGACAGGCTCTGCTAACATCTGGGGTCAGGAGAGAGGAGGGGGCAGGAAAGGGTGGAACTGAGGAGCTAGGAGATCACTGTGCAGCTTGGGTCAAGCTGACAGACTGTTCTGGATCCTCTGGGTCAGCCCAGACAGGGATACCAGCAACTCATCTCCACTACTTCCAGGTCCTGTGGGGCCGAAATGGCGTAGGGGGATGCCTGGTGCCAGAGAAACTGGGGCAAGTGGCATGGCCACTACCCCAGCAGGCAGGCTACAAGCAGCTCACGGGAAGTGTCTGCAGTGAAAAACCTCGTTTGTGAGCTTGGCCTTGGTCAAATCAGTCGATCTGTCTGGTGCTCGGTCTGGGGTGTCCAGTAACTTCTTGGTTCAGGGTGGGAGTGAAGTTCATCTTTTAAAATGCTACTCATGCTGGAGGCGTAGCTTCTGTGGTCAAGCTCTGCAGAGGTCTAGGAGCTGCCTTCTGTATAGGCATGACAACCCAGGAAAATGATGGCTCATGATGGCTCTGGACCCTGGCACTGCTATCTGGGAGGGGGTGGGAAAAAATCCCAGCCCCACCCCCACCCCCAGCCTCACCACTTCTCCCTGTGCCCAGCTGCTTAGCCCCAAGCACAGTCTGAGCCATTGAGGTTCCCCACTGGCTGAGTGGCAGGAGACATGTGGAAGTGGGGAGATGGAGGCGGAGCACAGACGCATCCAGATGTGTGCATGACCACCTCGGGGACAGCAGGCGGCAAGCAGGCAAATGGGGAAGGAGACCTGCCTCTCAAGCTGTGCCCACCCAATGCGCACCAGGCATTTGGGAAGCCTGGGGCAGCAAGCAGTTGCCCTCACCTGGTTGAGGGCTGCTGATCCCAAAACCTACACAGCAGTGCCAGGAGCCCCATTATTGGCCAAGGGCTCCTTCCCTCTCTTCTGCACCAATCCCCCCCGCCCCCCATCGAGCATCAGAATCTTGCCTGGACAAAACTGAATCATGAGGGTCCCACCTGTTCTCACCCTAGTGTCTCCTCTGGCCCTCTCTCCTGTGACCTCCAGAGCTGCCACAGCTGGAACCATTCTCCAAGCTGCCTTTCAAGCATGCTGCTGTCCCCCTCCCCCGCCCCCACCAACTCAGCCCCAGTGGCCCCTATAATTGTGGTCTCGGGCGGCGGCTGCGGGGGCTGGGGCTGGGCTGAAGGCCAAGGCCCAGGGCGGGACCAGGGTGGGGCTGGGGGCTGCTGATAGGGGCTTGGTCCTGGCCTGGGTCCTAGGGGGCTGACACTACAGCTACAGATGCTGTCTCGGCCTCATTGCCATCCAATGCCTGTGTCCAGCCCCTTCCCCTTCCACTGACTGAGGCCAGTGGTGGAGGGGCCCCAGGCTGGGGTGCTCAGAGGCCCGTACATACGGGATGGGCCAGTGTGCAAAATCACACTTGCCTCCTGGGCTTTTGTGGGGGGCCCCTTCTTGACCCCTTTTTGTATCTCCTCAGAGTGGACATGAGGAGCAGAGAATCCTCCCTGTGGAGGAGGCTGCCAGTTACCCCAGCAGGCCCATGGCTTTTCATAGAGTGCCAGTAGCACTGGGCTGCACTGACTGGCTGCAAATGCAGACTTCCAGGCCTTGTTCTGGGAAAGGCTGATTCAGCTGTGCAGAGCCTGGAATCAGCATTTCCCACGCAGCCTACCCTAGAGCATCCACGTGATCTGGCCAGTGTGGGAACCCCTGCATGTGAGCGAGCCCTAGGGTGGGGGGCAGAGGAGACCCCTTGAACCTGAGTGGGAGCCCACTTCCGGTGTTGGGGGCTAAGCCTCAGTTTCCTCCGCCCCCCCCCAAGTCAGTGGGGAGCCTGTCAGTGCCCTCTCCATCTCTGGGATCCAGCGGCTGCCTCTGCTCCCATCCTCACACCCCAAACTATATACTACGTCTGACCCCTACTCTGTGTTGCCCGTGTCCTTGTGCACAAGTGGAGAAATAGAGTGGGGAGGGCCAGGGGTGGCTGGGGTCACCCAAGGCTCTGGCTGATGGCTGACGCAGGCAGGCAGCTTCCTGCCTCCGGCTGTTTTCCTGCTGTCCAGCCCGACTGCTCTCCCCCCACTGCCCCACCCCCACCCCCAGCAGCCTCAAGCCCTTAATTCCTGACAGCTGCGGTGGCTGTCGGGGTGGAGATGGGGGGGAAGGAAAGAGGGTGTGGGGGGACTATGCCATCAGCCAGCAGCACCCCTTTCCCCCCACCTGACAGTCTGGATGGGGAAGGTCCCGCCCCTCTTTCCTAGCTCCCTGGGAACAGGCGATTCCAGGAATGGGCCTCTTTTGTTTCTGAGCCCAGAGGCACCACAGAGACACTCTTCTGCAAGAGAGGAGTGAGGAGGGATGTGTGTGCTGCCTCAGTGCCCCAGGCCTGTGCCCATTTTCCAGAGGGGAATGCTGAGGCCCCTGCAGACTAGGATTTGCTCTTAGCACCCAGGTTAAAAACACAATTCAAAGCCACCCAGATCCCCTTGTCCCCATCCGTTGGTTCTCAGACTAGGGCTGAGCACCTTATACCCCTTCTCCCCAACCAGCAGAGCCAGGGTAGGACTCAGAACATCCATGGGCACAGGCCAGTGGCACCCTACTTCTGACCTTCAGTCAGTGGTGACCCTCTTGTGTAGCCCTCCATTGTGTGTGTGTGTGAAATAAAAGGGGCTAAAGTAAGATGATCTCAAAACCCACCTGTAGGCTGCCCTTCACTCATCCCAGGAGGGCGGCCCTAGGGCGCCCAGCTACCCAGCAAGCCTTATCCCCACAGCCTGGGCACTTGGGCCCTCATTAACTCCCTGGCTACTGGAGAGTCAGGTCTCCTTAACCTCACTGCACAAGGGGCACAGCTGGCTCTCTAAGCAGAAGGCACCTGCTGAAGGCCCCACAGCAAAGACCAGGGAGAGCCAGAGGCTCTTTGCTGGACCCCATATCTGTTTCTTCACAAGGCAAGGGAGTGTCCCTGCCTTCCCTGCAGGTGTGTGTGTATGTTGGGGCGGAGGTGCCCCGCCTACATGTGCCCAGCCAGATTCACATATCTTGCTTTACACACTTTGCCTGCACAAACCAGTGTACTGCTCAGGGGGCACACTCCCCCACCTTCTCTCCCTTCCTCCAGTCGCCCTCCTTGCTTCCCCTACCTTCTTCGTGCCCTTGCCACGGCCGCTCCCACCCAGTCCCGAGCGCACACGCCTCCACACCCCTGTCATGACGTCACGTGGAGTAGAGCCCTGAGACACCAAATGGGGGGGTGGAGGAAAGGGGAGGCGGCGGAGCTCCCCAAGCCGGGACAGTCACTCGCTTTCCGGGCGTGTGAGACCGAGCACAGGCACAGACAGCGCCACCCCCCACTCGCCCGTCTCGCACGCCCTCAGAAGCCCAGGCTTGCGGCGCAGCGCAGGGAAGGGAGGGCTTCCCGGCACACACCCCCCCACTGCGTCTCGAGCCCCCCCCCCCACCCCGGGCCCGCTGCACCTCCGGAGCCCCCCTTTACCCTCGAGAGGCACCCAGGAGTTGTCTCAGGAGGGGGCGGCCTTGGGAAATTCCCCGGACCCCTGTGCCAGGAGGTGCCCGGTTCGCCCGCTCCCCACCCCACCCCCCGAGGGCGGTGCCCGGGGGCGCTGCCCCATGGAGCGGGGAGGCGGGCGCCGTCTGCTCCCGGAGCCGTGACCCGAGTCGGAGCCGCGTGTCGCAGCCACCCCGACCCCCCCACAGCTGATCATGCGCCGCCGCCCCGGGCTTGCCAGTCCCACCGGACTGTGAGCCCCCCCCATTCCCCACCCGTCGCGGCCCGCGCGCCATGGGCAGCGCCCACCCTCGCCCCTGGCTGCGGCTCCGACCCCGGCCCCAGCCGCGGCCCGCGCTCTGGGCGCTCCTGTTCTTCCTTCTGCTGCTGGCTGCTGCCGTGCCCAGGTGAGCCCACACTTTACGCTCCGCCCTCTGGGAGCCGCTGGGACCCCCGGGGCACGCGCTGGGACTTCTGCTTCTTCTGCTGGGACTAGGGGGACCTTGGATGAGGAGGGAGGGAAAGAATCACAGGGAAGGCGCTGATGCCCAAGAAGAAACCCTCAGGGCACTCTCTCCTGGGAGGAAGTTAGGCGGGTAACAAAACCGGGCAGTCCTGGAAGGCAGGGCAATGCCCAGGGGAGACAGGGCAGCTTGGAGTGGAGGTGAATGTGGAGGGAGCAGCGGCCACCTGGGTCCCTTGAAGAAAGTGCACCTGGCCCCAGGAGAAAGGACATAGTGACCACAGTCCTCCATCTTCAAGGCCTTGCCCCCCCCCATGGCAGGAGGGGGCAGGGGTACCTGGAGGGGAGTGGGGAGCCTAAGTGAGGTCTGGGAGAGAGCTGGCTAGCAGCTGTAGCCAGCAGCGTTGGTGTGTTTGTGTGCGTGAGTGTGAGAGCGTCTGGGTCCATGCGTGTTAAGACAAATACAGGGTACCTATGAGTGTCTGATGGCTCGCGGCTAGTGTGTCTACACCAACCACGGCGGGCCCACGTGGCTGCTGAGGCTGGGGCTGGGGCTGTGTGTCCACCTCTCTGTGTGCACAAGTGTGTCTGCAGGGAGGTGATGGCTTGAAACTGGCCTTGGCCAAAGGGACTTCCGCGGACCCTGTGCGTGCCATAGAGGTGCTAATGAGCTACCACTGTGTGCGGAGGCCTAGTGGACCTGTGTGGGCATATGCGCGCCTGTGTGTGTTGGAGGGGTTGATGGTGAGGAGAGCAGGAAAAGCAGATACTTTAGGGGGCTACTGATGGGCCTAACCTCTGGGGACCCAGCAGTGCATGTGCCTCACCCAGCCCCCTCACATGCCCGCAGGTCAGCACCCAACGACATCCTGGGCCTGCGCCTGCCCCCGGAACCCGTGCTCAACGCCAACACGGTGTGCCTGACGCTGCCCGGCCTGAGCCGGCGGCAGATGGAGGTGTGCGTGCGCCACCCGGATGTGGCTGCCTCGGCCATCCAGGGCATCCAGATTGGCATCCATGAATGCCAGCACCAGTTCCGGGACCAGCGCTGGAACTGCTCCAGTCTCGAGACGCGCAGCAAGATCCCCTACGAGAATCCCATCTTCAGCAGAGGTAGCTGCCACTGGCTCCTGTGGCCTCCCACCCCTCCAGCCACCCACTTCCCCGCCTGCCAGGCACACCACCAGGCAAGGGGCACCGGAAAATGGATTGGATGTGGCTGCTGCAGGGGGTGGGGGTGGGGTGTGTGGCAGGTTCTGCGCTTAGCTTAGTGCACCCCAACCGGAACGCCACCTACCTCTGGCCCAGGAAACACCCGTGTTGGTGAGCTGCTTCAATGTTGCCTCTTCTTAGCAAGCCACATCTAGGATGGAGAGGCCTTGAGAGTACCCCGCATCAGCACTAAGAGAGCTCGGGGACTGTGCTAAGTGATCCAAGCAAGGTTTGCCTTCCCTACCGGCAAGGTAAACCTTGGTCACATGGGGTGCATCACCAGGTTCTGTGTCATCCCTCCTGCACCCACCTTCCCCCAACTCCTCTCTGAAACAGAGACACAAGGAGTGTGAGTGCCTGGGCAGGGAGGCTCAGGCCCAACAGGCCTGCCTGTCTTGCCAAGCCGCTCTCCAACGACCTCCCATCCCACCCCGCACAGCTCAGAGAAATTGCACCCCATTTCTGAATGGCTCGGAGCCCACCCTGACAAGCCCTGGAGTGATTTGGGCTGAAGTCGAAGGTGGGCTTACGCTGCTCACTTCTGTTCACATCCACCTCCCGAGTCTGCTGTCTTAGGCCTAAGGGTTCCTGCCACTAGATTGGCCTCTCTGGGTGTCTTCCCCCTCTTCTTTGCCGCTTGGGGACAGTGTGGGAAGCCCGCGGCCTCGACTCCTTGGGTCACCTCCAATTCTCAGCACGCCAGGAGGGGTCCTCATATGCCACTTCACCTGGGGCTGCCTGGAGGGACTGTGGCTTCTGGGGGGAGCCAGGCTTCAAGGCGCCCACTCCTCTACTAAGGGCTTCTTCCTTGGCACCAGGATCCCAGACTGGGAGGGGGGCGGGAGGAGCCCCCTAAGTCAGGGGCCACGAGGAGTCCCCCAAGTCAGGGGCCAAGGCAGTCTCCCTCGGCCGCCCGCCCCGCCCGCGCGCTCTCTCCCGCCTCCCCCGCGCGCCGGCCCCGGGCGCCGTTTCTGCCCGCCGAGCACAGCCTGCGCGTGTGGCGGCTTGCAGCCCTAGCTAATCCCCGCGGGCCGCCAGCCGCCTCCCGGCCCCCCGCCGCCCGCGCGCCGGCCCGCCCGTCCCTCCCGCCCCGCCGCACGCTCCGCGACACCAAGTGACAGGCCCCGACCGCGTCGGGCCGGTGCTCCCTGCCGCGCGCGCCTGCTTCCCAACATCGGGTGGCTGGCGGGCCCGGAGTCCTCGCTTGACGGGGGAAGGGAAGGAGGTGTTCCCGTTCCCCCAACCCCACCCCAGCGCTTCGGGTGCAGCCAAGCTGGGCGAGTCCTGCAACGCGCTTCCCGGCCCCAGCGTTCCCCTCCGCTCCGCCTGAGCCCTGCAGTGTGAGCGAAGGCAGCCAGGCGTCCCGATCGCTCTCCAGGGTCAGGCGCCTGCGGCCGGCCAGGGGAAGGATCCGGGGGTCTTGACAGCTCGGCGGGGCAGAGGGGTGAGGAGGGGAGCGGGGAAGGGCGCAGGCTTGGCGTGACGCCAGGAGCTCCCGGGTTCACCTGCAGTTTAATAAGCGGGAGGTGAGCTGGGGGGACGAGTGGGGGAGAGGTGAGGGGTGGAGGGGGAGGCTTGCCGGGGCTAGCCGGGCCGGGGCGGCGCCCGGAGCGGGCAGGGGGCGGGACCGAGGTTCGAGGGGCGGCGCCGGGGGCGGGGCTCGCGCCCCGGCCTGGGCATGCCACCTTACCTCTGCGGCTTCTGCTTCCACCTCCGCCCCACCCTAACCCCACCGTCTGACACCTGACTTTTCCCTCTCTTCGGAGGGGACTCTGGACTGCTGAGGGAAAGTCATGGCTCCCCACTTCCTTCTGCGGGTGACCACCCCGGCGCCCCTCCACTCACATCCGGGTCCATCCTCCTCTAGGGTCATTTCCTGGTCCATCTTGACCCATCTCCTCCAAGACTAGCTGCACTGGAATTTCATGAAGCTGTTCCTGGTGGTAGTCAGTCCCTAGTTGTATGGCCTCTGTCTCTCCCCACACACTCATGTGGTCGGCCACTTCCAGCTGTCCCAAATGGACTCTCCAGGAATGACCCCTCCTCTGCCCCAGGTGGTGGGGGGAGGGGCAAGGGGAGGCACTGCCCCTTGGGCCTCCTTTAATCTTTCTGTTTCTCACTGTCCTAACATCTTCCACGAGGTAACTTTGTTGACAGGGTTGGGTTCTCATGCAGGAGGGAGGGCTAATGCTTGAACCCTTGGAGTGACTGAGCCAGGAAAAGCTTCACCCAGCCAGAGAGAAAGCCTAGGGCTGCTGGACCGCCTGGTGGGGCAGGGGGTGGGGGCTGGGACAGGTGGGTACAGAGGGGTAGGGCAGGAAGCCCCAGAATAAGCACAGGATTGATGCCCTGCCCAGGCAGCACAGCACAGGGGCAGCTGTGACCTGAGTGCCTAGGGCAGTGGGATCCCCAGCTTGCTCACATGATTGGAGCCTGGGCTGTGGGCTGGGCAGACTCTCTGGATATAGGATGCCCCTGCTGAGTGCTGTCTGGAGTGAGAGTTTTGATGGAGTGGCATGGAGCAAAACCTAGCAGCCCCGACCCAGGAGTGTGGGGCATTGCTGTGCTTCCAAAGGCCCAGGCTGGAGTGGAGGGCAAGAATGGTCATGGGACCAGGGGAAGCTAGCTGCTTCCAGGTTCCGCCTCCACTCTCCAAGGCAGCCCTGGCTCTTTCCCCACCTTGCTTGTACATTCATCCATGGGGTCTTGGTTATTATATGTAGGTATGTATGTATGCACTTTAAGATTGAAGCTAGGAAAAAGAATATATATATAAAGATTGGAGCTCATCCAGTCTGAAGCCAGAAGCTTCTTCCTGTTCCCCTACGTGGGTTACAGGGGCCCAAGCATTTGAGCCAACTTTTGCTGCTTTCCATTAACAGGAAGCTGGCCCAGAAGTGGAATAGTTGGGATTCAAACTGGTGCCCATATGAAATGCCATCACCACAGAGGCTTAACCTACTATGCCAACCTCACCCCATGTGGGGGGATGTGTGTATGTCTAGGTTTTATATCTAGGCCCCCAGGGCTTGGAGTGTGTGGTGGAATTCAAATGGGGAAACTGTAGATCGTTGATCCCAGGATCTATTCAGAGCCCATTATTCTAATGACACCCAATGCATCAGGCAACATGTAGCAAATGCTTGCTGCATATTGGGTGCTGTTCTCCAGCACTTTCCCTACACTTAAGGGTTCTTGAAGGGCACCCATGCAGCAGGTCCTATTATTATCCTCATTTTTACAGATGAAGCTGAGAGGTTGGGTAACTCACCATTAGTCACACAGCTTCCCAGGAAATAGGAGAGCCAGGCATTAAACAGTGCCTGCTGACTTGAGAGCCTGCACCCAACCCTGCCACCCCCGGCCTGCCTCCCGAGCTGCTAGGCCAGCAGCTCCCATCGAACAGCCAGAGGGGAACCAGTGCACTGGGTGGTGTCTTCCAGGAGGCGAAACCCCTGCATGTGCTTGTGCAAATGCGTAGCATCATTCAGTGTCTTGCCAGAGGGCTCCCATATGCACCAAGGTCTCTGTGCCCAGGCACACAGATGACTTGCATCACGAAGAGAAACCAGGCCTCCCCCCTTCCCTCTCTCTTTGACTTGAGTCGGGGGGGGGGGGTGTTTCAGGCCTCTCTAAGCCCTCCTAGCTCTTCCATCTTCTCTCCTCCACACTGTCTTGCCCTCCCAGCCGCCTCCCTAGCCCCTTCCTGGCCGTTGGCTGCGGCCTGTAGCAGCAGCTGACTCCACTTAGAGCCTGGCAGTCCCTGTCCCAGATCAAAGGCAGAACGGCTAATTGTGTGTCTTAACGAGCCACCCCCCCCCCTCGCCTTGCTCCGGGGCAGCCCAGCTGGCCATGGCCCCACCCTACTCCCCTTCCAGCTGGCCAGATGGCGCAGTGCCTGCATCTACCCTAGACAGTCATGGCCAGGACTGAAACTGGGGCCCTGTACCAGAGAAAGGGCAGACCCAGGGGGTGTTGGACTTCTATCTGAGGACTGGATACTTGGAGCAGAGGGTGGCTACGCTGGCCTTGCGCAGTCTTTCCTACACATGGCTGTGACAACTGTCAGTGCCCGTGATGGGGATGTGGGGTACTAGCGGCAGGCATCTTTAGCTGCATGGGGTTGTGGGGGAGGGGGTTCTTTGTAGGCTTCAGATTCATGCTTGCATAACCAGGAAGGCGGTGGTTGGTCCTGTACACCCCTTCTGGACCAGTCCCTTGATGCTCATTCCCCATATCAAGTGCAGACAGGACCCAGGGAACTGGAAATTGTATTGCCTAGGGGGATTTTTCTCAGTTGCAAAGACTACCTTCAACAGAAAGTCACCAGGCCTGGGAGCTGGGACAGCTGGGTCTGGGCCCAGGTCTGTAACCTCTGGGACCTTGGGCTTCCCACATTTGCATAGTGTGTGTGTGTGTGTGTGTGTGTAGGGGGTGGCTGATGTCTGAGTCTTGGGCTGCCTCTGCAGGGCTGAGTACTGCCACATGGCCTAGCAGCAGCAGGCTGACGGCTCCAGGCTCCAGGCTCTAACAGAAGGGCTCAGAGTGACAAAGATAACAGGCAAGCAATAAATGCAGGTGCACATCGCAGGGACTGGGTCAATTTTCCTTCCTACCCTATACCCCTGCAGGGCCCCATCACCCCAAGGTATTCTCCTGATAATTCCCATCATCCCCTTGGAGGACCCATGCCCTTTTGTCTGCTCCTAACCACAGATTCTGAGATGCTTCATGGACTTCCTGAGGCCACAGGGGTCTGTTCTACAATGAGTCATGACCTGGGCTGTCCCCTGGTCAGAGTGAAATGGAAAGCCATGGCCTGAAAATCCTGCAGGAAAGAGAGAGTGCAGTCAGCAGGAAGTGCTCCACGGCAGCTGGGGATCACACAGTGCCTGCTACTACTCACTTGAAGCTTGCGACTCATTTTCTTCATGGAACCGCGACGAGGCAGATAATACTAACCCTGGTTTGCAGATGAGGAAACTGAGGCATGATGAGGTCAAGGTCACTTGGCCAAATGGCTATTAACAGCCCATAAACAGAAGAGCCAAAATCTGGACAGAGGCAGCCTGGCTCCGCAGATCAGTTCCTCCTACTCCTCATATTATCATGATTTTGTCCAGGCAGGAAGAGGAGGACAGGGGTCTGGGATGTAGGGAGTGCGAGTGTACAGCTAGGACTGGGTTGGAGTCCCTGTCCAGTGTGCACTCCTGTGAGTTATTGCTGATACTGGGATGGAAGGCTCCAACCTTTGTGCTGATTCTTTAGCATCCTCCATGGCTGTCAGCTTGCTGCCTGCCAAGTCTGGGCTTCACCCATGGGGTTCATGGCACAGATGAATTCTCCTCTCTGTGTGGGAGCTCTTTTTGCTGTTGGCTTCTCTTACTGTCGCCCCCCCCCCCCCATCTCTCTATCTCTTTCTCTCTCTGGGATCCAGAGGCTGCTTAGAGGCATGTATTAGAATCTCTGGCTGGCTGGTCCTTTCTGAGATACAGAAAGCCTGCAGTAGCCTGCAGATCCCAAAACTGGACCTTCCAATGCACAAAGACCTCCCCTGTCACAGGCCTAGGGCATACCCCAAGGATAGCTCAGGTGTGAGCACCATGATGGACAGCAGGGCAGATAAGTGGGTGTCCATATGAGGCTTAGAGCTTCCTTGAAAGTCTAGGGGTCTCCCTGCCGGTCCTTCCCTCTCATTTTTCCATATTAGATCCTCTGCAAATCCCTGCACCTGCCTCTGGCATCCCTCACGCAATTCTTGGGCTAATTCAGATGGATTGCAGACAGATTGTCCAATTCTGAGTAACTTCCAGGCAGGCATGGGAGGTTAACAGGGACTTGCTGCTGATTGCTGCTGGAGCCTGGCCAGCAGGGAGGCTTGTGGTGGGCACATAGAGCAGACAGGTGACCTTAGGGTAGAGGGCTTTAGGAGCCAACTCCCACCTTCTGCCCCACGTGGGACGGACAGCCCCAGCAGCCTGGAATTCCATCCCCCGGGGAATTTACTCTTTAGGTCAAAGGGTGCCTGCTTTCTAGACTTTGAAAACTGCAGGCATCACTGCAAAAGAGAACCGGTAAGATATCTAAGGGGAACACACTTAAAGGATGTTTGCTGGAAAGACCAAGCTGGCTGCGGATGCTGTCAGCAAAATGCAGTGGGTGAAAGGGGACTTAAAGAAAGAGACTGGCGGAAGACACCCCCCCCCCCCCCCGCCCCTTGCAACATCGCTAAGAACAGAACCTTGAGCCTCATGTGCTGAGAAGGCTGGGCAGGGCAAGGCAGGGCAGGCAGGGCGATGGGACATTGAGTCCTCTCCAGGGTCCATGTTTTCTGGGTCTCTCTCACTGCAGGTTTCCGAGAGAGCGCCTTCGCCTACGCGATCGCTGCAGCGGGTGTGGTGCACGCTGTGTCCAACGCATGCGCCCTGGGCAAGCTGCGGGCCTGCGGCTGCGACGCTTCACGTCGCGGGGACGAGGAGGCCTTTCGACGGAAGCTGCACCGCCTGCAACTGGATGCGCTGCAGCGTGGAAAGGGCCTGAGCCACGGGGTCCCTGAGCATTCCTCCCTGCCCCCAGCCAGCCAGGGCCTGCAGGACTCTTGGGAGTGGGGCGGCTGCAGCCCGGACGTGGGCTTCGGAGAGCGCTTCTCTAAGGACTTTCTGGACTCCCGAGAGCCTCACAGAGACATCCATGCGCGCATGAGGCTGCACAACAACCGGGTCGGCAGGCAGGTGAGCGTTTCAGCCCCCTGGGCCTGCTGCTTCTCCAGGCCCCTCTTCTCTTCCGGAGCACACACAGTGCACATGTGCGGTTCCCTGTTCTTCTTAGGACTGGGTCAACACAGTACCTACTGTGTACCAGAGAGTAGACTGAGTCCAGGGACACTAAAGGGCACTGGCCCAGCATGTCGTCTTGCAGAGCCACCTGCTCCTTGCCTAGCCTCTGAGATCCCGGCAGTCAGAGCCTCCCATTTAAAGCTAGAAGGCTCTGCTCTTGGTGGAGCTCTGATCTCTATATCCTGGGTTTCCTGTGCTGTCTCCCGCAGTGAACCGTGTTCCACTGGCCTTCTTCTCAAAAGCCAATATGGCCTCTAAGGCTATTTATCCAAAATTACTAAATGCCAGTCAAGGTAAGGCGAAAGAGAGCAGTCTGAACTGGCTTAACTACACCTTCAGCGCTAACCTAGCCACTGCCCTATTTAGTCCTTACAACGCTGCTGCTCAGATGTGGAAACTGAGGCACAGATTGACTAAGAAGCTTACCCAAGCCATGTGTGACTGGGAGAAAGTGGTAGAGGCAGGATCCACCCCCAGGCGCTGGGGCTGGCGCCCGAGCAATTTTGGCTTTCACCGCCCCTTGCCCCACTTTCCCCAGGACCTATAACACCCAGTCTGTTCGGTGAGTTGACGTTCCATCGTTCACATAGCAGCCCAGCTCCTGTGGCCTGCCTGTTCTCTTCACACCCTGCCCTGGACCCTGTCCAGTGTGCTGGGGCCTACCTAGCTGGCACCATCTCCATCTCACCTCCCCTCCATCTCACCCCCCTTCCCTTTTTGTTGGCCTCTCAGCTCACACTGTTTCATCTCCTTCCTCCACAAAGACTGACTCAGCAGCTCTCTTTGCGATGTAGAGGCGGGGTAAACTGAGGCACACCTGCCCTCAGGCCATGTCCAACTCCCACCCAGCCCTGCCCTGTCTGTGCAACTCTTCTCCCCCACCCCCATCTTGAAGATACCTATTCCGACCCGGTAACCCATAGTGCCTCCTCCTGTGTCCCTGCTCCTCCTCCTCTTCCTCGTTAAATTGGTTAATTAATGGCTGCTGCTTGTGGGAAGCAGATGTTCTGAAGCTGTTGGCCTGGGAAGGCTCTGGCTGCTTCCCACGTGGTGCTGTCACCATGGGCTGTGTGTGGGAGCCAGGGAGCCCTCTAAGACCCCTGAAGCGGGGGGTGGGGGTGGGGGGGTGGGGGGGCGAAGTCGCTCCCTTGGGGTCCTGCAGTCCAGCTTTGAGGACTCCAGCCTTGGTCTCCC